GGGTTGAAAATGGGAAGCAGCAGCCGATCTACCATGAACGCTGGGTGAAAATGGGGAGTGCGCCCGAGCCTGCGGGGTGCGGGGCGCGGGAGGGGCGAGGACTGGAGAGGGCTTTCCGCCGGGGTCCGCTAATGGCTGGGGCTGGATCCCAGGTGCCGGAGGATGCCTCACCCCGCGAGCGCGCGGCGTCCGGAGCCGCAGAAGCAGCGCCGTGGGTCCGTTCCCGTCCGGAGCGCCCGGGCTCGCCTCCATCTTCGGCGGTCGTGCCCCGGGGCGGGCGGGAGTGGACCGCTGCCCTAGGCCGCGGGGCCCGGGTCGCCGGCCTCCCCTAGCCCGAGATCCCGGCGAGCCGGGCTCTCCGCTCGGCCCCACCGGAGCCCCGGGAGCCGCGGGCGCTCGGGCCCCCCCTCGACCTCCGGAGGGGGCCCCCCTCGACCTCCGGAGGGGGCCCCCCGACCCGCCCGGGCCTGGAGCTCGCCCCGCGACGCCGCTCTGGCCCCCGGCCTCTCCGCCAGGCGCTCGGGCGCGGCCTCCCGGCCCCGCCGCCCTACCCCCCCCCCCCCCCCCCCCCCCGGGGCCCCCCCCGGGCCCCCCCCCCCCCGCCCCGCGCAGCCGTGGCCGGCCCCCCTCCCCCGCCGCCCGAGGGACAAACCTGGGGGCCGCTACCCGGCATGGCCGACCCGCGAGGAAGCGGCAAGCCGGCGGCGGGGCCCGCAGCGACAGCGGCCAGTCCGGCCCTCCCCGCGCGGCGCCGCGCCCGCCCGCGCGCCCTCCCTCCCCGCGGGCCGCGGCCCCGGCGCCCCCTCCCCCGGCTTTGCACAACTCGCGCCCCGGCCGCGCGCACACCGAATTGTTGCTCAACCTACTTGCGGTCTCTTCTGAGCGGCCATCACAACATGCCCTGGAAGCCGGGGCGGCCCCGGGGCCCTGCGCCGGGCGCCGCCTCTCGCCTCCGCCCTGGGCGGCCGCCGCTAGGGCGCGGGGCGAGCGGGAGGCTCCCCCATGCCTGCCCGCCCGCCCGCCCGCCCGGCCGGCCGGCCGCACGCCGGGGCCTCGGCTCGCCCGCCGCCCGCGCCGCTGCTCCGCGGGCGAGAGCGAACCCGGCTCTCCCCCCGGCCGCCTCGCTCCTCGGCCGCCCGCCCGCAGCCGCAGCCGCAGCCGCCGCGCCGCTTCCTCCTCCCCTTCCCTCTTTTTCTTCTCCTCCTTCGCCTCCTCGGGAGCCGAGGTTGGCAAACCAGCACCTGCTGCTGGAGATCACCGAGAACTGAAACAGGAAACCCCGAGCCAAGGGGAAAACCCGGGAGGCGTGGAGAAGGGGTGAGGGGAGCCGCTAGAACCTGTCGGGCTCCACCGACGCTCCCGCGCCTCCTCCCCTCGCACCCCTTCCCCTTCCCCGGCGCGGGGGTCTCGGCCTCCGGTCCCGCTCCCCCAGCCCCGTCCAGGAGGGCGCCTCTCCGCTCGGCTACACCTCGTCCTCCCAGCAATAACGCGGACCATTCCCTAGGCAGTCTAGGGAACCGAGAGGCTGCCTACTTAGGGCGAGTTTCCCGTGGCTGTTTGCTTATTATCAATATTCTGTAATGAGGAAAAACCACACCCTTAGCAAGACCAATAAGGGAACTTACACAAATGAAGCTGCTGGGATTTCACCCAGGGACTTCTTTCGGCAAGGAAACTGGCCTTATTGGAAATGGCAAGATGTCAAAATCGAGGTTAAGCCCAGGATAAATCCAGATCTCTTTCTAGTGGTTGGGAGGAGACAGCCCTCTGCCCTGAGTTGCAAGTGTGAAAAGCACCGAGAACAGAGAGCCTTTTTTTTTTTCCTTCTTTCAATTGTCCAACACCCGGTACAATTTAGGTCAACATTTCAGTAATGTTCAAATAATCGTATTCACCTGCCTGTGGCTTTATCACCAGGTGCCTCACGCCTAGCCTTGGGCAGGATGCATCTGCTTTGGGAGTGAAAGAGAAGGGAATTTATGTGGCTTGTGCCCCTAGCATGTGCCACCAGACTAGGTAGCCTGCTTTAAATGCATTATCTCATTTTTGTGTCACCACAGCCCTGCGAGCTAGGTGTTATAATCCCCTTTATCCCTCAGCAAATTGAGGTTAGAAAAATTTTCTGAAATGACACAGTTTGAATATGAAGAATTATAGGTCTGTCTGCCTCCAAAGTACATACTTGTTTCATTGGACCAGCGTTCATGCCCTTGATGGCAACTTTTCACCTTTAATAAATACAATTATTTCTTGCCTCTCTGAATTGTTTTCAATAGAGTATATATGGTTTAAGCCTGGATCTGTTGAATTTGCTTGGGCTACTTAGTGGTACTGAGAGCCATAATGCTTACCGGGCCTAAAGTTTTATAGTTTCCAGTTCTCTAAAAAAATTTAAAAAATTGAAAAAAAAAAAAAAGGCTGCCTTTATGGCTCAGTTGAGCAGCACAGATGTCCCCACTTCTTTGGCCAATATTTGCAGCCCTTTTGCTACTGATGACGGGGTCCCAGATGAGAGCATCCTGCTGGCTGGTACCCATGGGCATCCTCAATACTGGAAGATGAAAGGGGTGCATCTTGCTGAGCCTGCTTTCCACTTCAGCAGGCCAGTCTTGGGCCCTATTAAGTGAAATAGCAGACTGGTAGGCTTCCTTGGGGCCATGAGAGCTCTCTGGTCCACTTTTCTGGTATCATCTTTAAGACCCTTAGGATGTCTGGCAACCTGCTCTCTGTAGCCAGCCTCCACTGGCACGATGGGAGGGATGCTCTGGGAAATCCTCCCCTGTTCATGGAGCCAAACCCTCAGAAATCTCTTGAGCAGTATTAGGGAGTGGAAGGGACCTAAAAAGAGGCTGGCTGGCTGACAATAAGTGACAGCATCTGTGGCATGATTTTAGTGATGCCAGCAGATCCCCTAGTCCACAATATATCACCCACACAGTCTATCTTAGTTCCCTCATTTGACTCAACCGAATTCCATTCAGTATGGATTAAGTGTGGTTATAGACCAAGCCACTACATTAGGTACTTTGGAGCTAAGAGACATGAATAATTATTATAATTGCCAACATTGTGTGAATGCTTACCATTCTAAGCACTTCGCATGTGCTCTCTCATCTAATACCCACAAAACCCCTGTGAGGGATTGAATAACTATCACTATTCCCATTTCACAGATGAGAAAACTCAGACCAAGATTATAGTCAGTAACAGTGCACGGTTGAGCACAGAGTCAGTCTCGCTCTAGCATCAGGACCCATTATGTGACTACGATACTGTAACTGCCTTTAGTTACCTTACTATGTATTTGGGGAGATAAAAACATACAAAAGTTCAAAGAAAACTAAGAAGACAAGAGACCTGAGGAGTGTTAAATATGTGTCATGGGTAATAAATGCAATGAAGTTTCAGAGGACAGAAGAGTTGTCTTAAGTTGAAGTGGTGGAGAAGACACACACAGAAGATGACCTGCAAACGAGAGACAGAGACAGAGACAGAGACAGAGACAGAGACAGAGACAGACAGGGAGATTGAGCTCAGTGTAGCCTGTACACAGAAGGGTTTTGAATGCAGGGTGACATGGAGAACATCCTATTTTAGGAAAATTAATACTGTGATGGTTACTGGATGGTTTTGCAAGGGGAAGGACTGGAACAGGGAAACATGTCTGACGTCCATTATGGCAGGACAGACGTGAACTATGGAAGTAAATAGCGAGGGAGGAGAGGAAGGGACAGTTTAGTGAGATAGAAGGACCTGAAAAGCACCAAGTGATTGCATACACTTGACGAAGATGGACTTAAGAAAGGGGAGAAGTCCAAAATAACTTCACGATTGTGAATATGAAATCTATAGTGATGCTAACTGGAGAAAAAGGGGAAGTTTAGGGATAGAGGAACTACTTTTTTGAACAAATGTTTAGAATAGTTTGGTTTCAGGCATGTATTTGTGGTACGGTGGGATATGCATGTGGAAATGTTTTATAGTATTATCTAGAAAAGACAAAGAGTTGGGTAAATGAGACTTTTATGTTATTGAGATGGTATGAAAACTTTAAATGCTCACTGTTATAGTAATAACCATGCATGGTTGTTCATCTTAAGTAAACCAGAATTGAAAGAAAATCTCTCACAAAAATAAAATGCTTCTATGGCTCCGAGACAAATGAGCATTAGGGAAATCGTCTTTTCTTGACTCCAAGTTATATTTACTTAAAAGAAAAAGAGAATAAATAGGAAAGAAATTCCAAGGAGTTCAGTAAACATAAGACTGATGAGAGAAAACCTGGAGATCATTTCATTCGATCCCACTTTTCATTTTACAGTTGGTGAAAATGAAGATCAAATTTTGAATGTCTGACAATAAAACTTCAAAATAGGCATTAGGCAGATATGGCATGTTTGCTGTTACCAATTCTGGAGAGACAACCAACCTGTATTTTAGTTATAAAATCAAGGCTGGACCTTGAATTGTGACTCCGAATTGCACATAATTAAAGAATTTGAGTGCTTGTGGCTACATAGTAGGCAAAGCCCTGGAACAGCCTCACCAGTTAAAAGCAAATGCTTTAAAAAGAACAGATTTGGGGCTGGGGGCAGGGATGGGGGTGGGGGGGAGGGTAGAGAGAATGGTTGCAAGAGCAGCACTTCTTTCTAATATATGGCTCCCAGGTAAACTGCTCCACACCTACATTCACGTTTGAACCTCAAAAGACAAGAGTTTCAGATGGCCATCACATCCCACCTGGCTGCCTCAGGTTGGACCTTCCAATGGCCAGCCACCTTCTCTAAGACCTCCGGAGACTTCAGAAGTGATGACCCATAAGTCACCCTCAGATTCAAAAGTGGCACAACCCCCCTGGCAACTGCTTCTACTCTACCCAGAGCTCTCCTAGTGGTGTCCTTGGGTGTTTCCTCATTGGAAATGTGTGTATCCAGAGGATACACTTGAAGATGTGAGAGAACTGTTTCTCCTGCCTCCACCATTTCTACCAAAACACTTACCTTAGTTGAGACAAAGTCAAGAGTCCCTGCTACGTGCTTCATCTCCAGCTGTTTGGCCAGCACTTGATTTCCTTCAGTTGACGAGCTTCATACCCATAGCCAGATGACTACTATGATTTCTCATTCAGTTTCTTTTACGTCTTCCAGAGAAGTCCTGGTTAATTCCAACCATCTAGGAAATGTCAAGTTTTCTTACTAGCATTACCCTACACAACCATTTCCTAAGCCCATGATCTGTGTAAGACAGACACAGAGGGATAAAACACATTCTTGCCCATGTCCTTCAGTGACTGCTTAGAGTTGCTTTTTAACGCCGAGTTCGCAGGGAAAGGAAACTAGAGGACACAAGATATGTGCTGTTGGCCAATCCCAGGACTTCTTCCTTTCGATGAGTTACCACAAGATTCCATATTAGCAGCATGACTCTTTTTTTTCCCCCTAGCATTTGTGGGAGGCCAACAGAGAGCAGAACAGCAAGGGTTTCAATATGCTGTATCATACAGTCATGGGCTTGGTTTTCTACCTGAACCAGACAGTGTGGCTCCCCTCATTTACGACATTGGGTCAACATAGGAATTTTGAGAACAATAAACACTTCGTGTTGAATTTAAAAATGTTCCTAAGGTGGTGCTTGGCTATTTTCACAAGGGCCATATGTTTCATTGTAGCTCACCTTGCTCAGAAATGTAAAACAATTTTTTGTTTTACCATGGAATTTCAAGCACACCAAAAACATCCTCATCACCTCTGCAAGCATCTATTGTTTTAAAAGGAAATCGGTACACAGAATTACAAATGTATACCACTGAGCTAGCTGGAGACGGGGTTATGGAATTTTCAGGTTAGAGTGCATCCTATGTGAAAAGGCGCTCTCAGGAGAATATTAATTGCAGCATTATTGGTAAAGGCAAAAAAAAAAAAGGAATAAACCTAAGTATCTATTAATAGGAAACTACAGAAATTGTGGTATCTGTATACATTAGAATGTCATTCACCTATTAAAGAGAGTGAAGTGGCTTTATGTGTATGGAATTGTTCTTGAAGAAGTCAGGTAAGGATCAGTGTATCTAGTATGCTACCATGTGTGTGAAAGACAAAGAAAATCTCTGCGTGGGCTTATATGTGCCCTGTATTATCTCTGGAAGGATACATGAGACACTGGTAATGCTGATTGTCCTGGGCAGGTGGACTGGACGATTATCAGGAAGGAAGAGTGCAAAAGACATTCACTTTTTATTCTATAACCATTTATAGCTTTTGTATTTTATTTAATTATTAATACTATTATTATTTTTTAGATTTTCTTTTTAAGCAATCTCGACACCAGATGTGGGGCTTGAACCCACAACGCCGAGATCAGCGTTGTATGATCTACTGACTGAGCCAGCCAGGAGCCCCAGCTTTTTGACTTTTAAATTGGGGCCTTGAATTAGCTATTAAAAAACGTATTTCTAAAGTCCACATTTATCCGTGACGTGCGCGACCGTCCACCCCTTTCTATTTGATTTTATAAATAAGCAGATACTATTTTTGGAAATGGTTCCCCCGCCACAAGGAAGAGGAAGTCGCGGGAGTCCTGTGAGTCGCACGTGTGCGCTCCGGGGTTTCCCAGGCGAGGGAAAGATACCTATGGTCACGTGGAAGGAGCGGTCCGCAAACTGCTAAAGGATTCCCAGCCAACTTTAGCTGGATTAGGCAGTGTTTTTACAACTTCACTGCCAAAGGCTCCAAGCTCAGATTCTATGAGAATTTTTGATGGGACTGCTTTACCTAAAGGGAACGTTCTGGGACGTTCTCACGAGCAGATACAGGAGAAGTTCGTGTAAGCTGCTGGCCTCACAGAAAGTCAGCAGGAGGCCGGGGGCAGATGATACTCATCACCGAGAATTATATTTATTTGTTTTATTGTGTCTCCCCACATCAGAATGTAAGCGCTACGAAGGCGGGAGCTCCGTCCTGCGCCCTGGAGCATCCGCAGTTCTTCGGTGCCCAGCGTGTGGAAAGCACGCGGTTTGGCTCCGTCCTGGGGGGACCATAGCAGCCCATGACTCTCCAGTCTGTGGCTGCCTATTTAGGCATTGATGTGTTAGCAGGCAGTACTGACATGGCCAGGGGAACCAGGGTTCAGGCCTCCAGTCTCTGAAAGCGTGGGCCAAGCAGAATTCAGATCTCAGAAGAACGGGGGCATTAGAAGAATACTTAGAAGGACAAGGCAAGGAGCCAACTACGGAATAGCAGAACAAGGTAGGGGCTTGGTTTAAAAAAAAAATAATAATAATAAAGGAAGAAAAGAAGGAAAAAAGGAAAACAACCAATCACAAACAAATTAAAACAAGACAGTTGCCCCAAACAGCTAAGAACACAACAATAAAGGAGAAGACATAGCCCCGTGATTAGGGCTGCAGTTTACAGGGAAAGCAGGATTCTCAGCAGAGCATGTTTGCTGCTGAGTCACTGTACTGCTGGAGTTGGGCAACTGAGTTGGGAAAGTCACCTTGATTTAGGGTCTATCTAGGCTGGCTTCAGAGTCTAGGAGAGGGGACAGGTAAGTGAGCCTCAGGGCTAAGGTCAGAGGGATGCAGGGAAAACGGCCAACCTACTTGGTTCCAGGTATTCACTTCTAACCTTCAGAGGGGAAGTCACGGGGAAATTTCCACTGCCGGCTGTAGACATTCCAGGGGATCTTCAGTCAAAGAGCATCCAGGAGCCAGAAATGAAGGGTCCAGCCAGGCGGAAAACCTTAAGCACATCTCCACGGGTCCCCTAAGTGACTGCTCCAGGACTAGGACCTGAGGCGAAAGAGAGAAATTTAATGCAACTATCTGATGGCCTTTAATGATTTTGGTAGGTCACAGATCGCCATCAAGCCTTCGGCGGAGGTGAGCTCTCATGGTAGAGAAGCTGTCTTCTGTCTTATCCATCCTGTGGTCAGTTCAGAGCATACAGGTTTAAACTTACTAGGCAGAGGTGGAGTCAGGCTAGACCGTGGCATAGACATCAGCCGTTTATCGACTCCTATGTCTCACGGTCCTTCATTTGGGTCAAAACATTTACCTTATTTTGGGGCGCCTGGGTGGCTCAGTTGGTTAAGTGTCTGCCTTCAGCTCAGGTCATGATCTCGGGGTCCTGGGACGGAGCCCTACAACAGGCTCCCTGCTCAGAAGGGAGTCTGCTTCTTCCTCTCCTTCTGCCCCTCCCCCCTGCTGGTGTGCGCTCTCTAATAAATAAGTAAAATCTTAAAAAAAAAAAAAACCCAAAAACATTCACCTTATTTGAAAAAACGTCAATATTCCCCTGAAATGTTTTTCCAGCTTTTGAATTTTACACACAGAATCCTGAATTACTGAAAAGGGCTAGGCCTTCTGGGTCATCTTTACAAGCATCCGTTTTAAAAAGTGAATATTATCTGTCTTTGGCAGTCCCCACGTTTTAATGGAGAACTTGCTAGAGGAATTCAGGAATGTATTTTATTTTGGATAGCTACACGAGGCAGTTAAATGTTCAGTAAGCTTTGGCAAGGACAACTTTTTACTAGAAGACACTGTCTTGATGAAATGTATTGTCACCGCTTTCTTTGCTTTGTTTACTTTGCTAAAATATGTGTTCATAAGAAATTTTAGAGTTCGGTAGGATCGGGTCTCTGTACAATAACTTGTATTGTCCTGGTGGTCAGTTTTTTATATACAAAAGTGAGGGCTGACATTTTCCAAGGCTCTTTTGTAAGATATGTAGCTGACCGGTAGTGAAATTGAAGGTCAAGTACTTCAGCTTCATGGATCTTGAACAAGGGTTAATGGAAGTGGTTTTCACTGACTTTAATGTCTAGGACCTTGTAGTATTCTAACGTATTATTTTAAATTATCACAAGAATACATGTTCATGGTAGAAAGTTTTTAGGACATGTAAAAATATACAAATCCTCTCTCATCCTATCACCCAGAGATAACCCTTACAATTAAAAAAATTTTTTTTATTCTGTATCTATTCCATTACATTTCTTGATTTAATTCAATCAAACATGTGTTTGCTGAGTTCCAGCACTGGACTTTGGATCATAAAAGACATGGCCCATATCCTAAATAAACCAAAATTTTAAAGGAAAGGTAAGACATACGTCTGAAAAAAAAAATCCGGAAAAAAACCCACTAAATTAAATATAATCAAGTGCTAAACTTGCCTGTGAAGGACTCATTCAATGAGCTGCAATCCCCAGGATGCAGATCTCAAAATAATTCTCTGTCCACCTTAGGGACTCAGTCACGGAACAAGTGCTTCTTGGGCACCTGTTGTGTTCTAGGCACCGCTGGGATATCCCCCTACTTCCTAAAGCAGACTTGGAGAATTCCTAAGCTGAAGGCCATTGCTGTTTCCTTCAGTCCCTTCTGGACCCTGCAAACCCCATGTCTCCTCCCAGTCTCCCCTGCACATTCTCCACCTGCCACACTGGCCTTCTTGCTCTTCTGGTTAATCCCCTCTCTCTGGAACGCTCTTCCCCAAATATCCACAAGGCTTGCTCCTTAATGTCCTTCGGACTTCTGCTCAAATGTCACCTCATGAGAGAATCCATCTCTCAACACTATCCGGAACGTCACACGTAGCCTCCCTTCATATGTATTCTGGTCACTATCTATCCCCTGACCCTGCCTTTTTTTTTAATTTTTTTTATTTTAGCACTTACAATCACCTGAGATATAGATACAGATGTAGACAGGTGGACACCAGAGATATTGGTATATATAGATATAGGTCTCTATTTCCAGATAGGATGCATACATACCTAAATGGAAGTTTGTTTATCTGAAGATGAAAATTCTGGAAAGTTTACTTGAATAAGGTAAAAGGAGAACAGACGTGACATCACTATAGAGATATATCCTAGGAAACCCAGACAGGAGGTAGATCTGTAGAAGAGGCTTTCTTCAGGAGTCCCCCAATGGGCACAAAAATGAGACAAAGTCATGAAAGAAATCTTAGCCATCTCAAGTATCTGCTGCGCATCACAATCAGCCAGAAGCCGATTGTCTAATCGAGTTCTGGGCTCTGTTATCATGGGCTCTGTTTTCCCTTGGTTTCTGTGATGCCAGCTTCCCTGCTACCTCTTCTGTCTACTCCTACAAAGAATTCCTCTCTGACCCAGTATGTTTCGGCTCCACACACACGTCCTGGCTTTCCTCACCCATTCCTGTGGCATTAAGTACTACCTAAATTCTGATGATTGTCAGATCCGTCTCTGTAGCGCATAGTACCTGGCATTGAGTAGGTGCACAATAAAAGCACCTTT